ATTTCCTTTTCTCAGCCTTTCATTTTGGGAAATCTCAGACCCATAAAAATGTTTTAATAGCACAATGAACATTTACCTTCTAATTAAATTCACCAATTATTAACAGTAAATATTTGCTGAATTTTTTGTATATTTGTTGTTTGTTTCATGATTAGTTGAGTTTTGAAGCATGACACGTTGGGCGTCAAGCCCGGGGCCTTGGAACTGAGCCGTATCCCCAGGCCCCCTTTTGTTCTTGTTACTTTTGTTGTTGTTGTTGTTGTTTTGGGTCTTGTGGAATTGCCTAGGCAGGGCTCAGATTTGCAGTCTTGCCTCAGCCTCTCAGAGTTCTAGATTATACATCACTACAAGTAGCTATTTGCTGTTTTTCTGTATTCCTGCACATACTTTATTTTTTCTTAAATAGCATGAAATCAGTTGCAAATGTCATAGCACTTTACCCATAAATAATTCATCATTTGTGTCCTAAGAAAAAGAAATTACTCTCCTATATAAAATTCTCCTGAATAATTATAATTATCTAGGCAATTTAACACTGATGCGGTACTGTTAATAAACTGTTACTATTCCGAATTCTCTGGCTTCCCATAATGCCCCTTAAAGCTTTTCATGTTGTTCAGTGTGCTCTACTCAAGGAGTTCTATAGTCTTGAGCAATATGCAACAGATCTCTAATACTTTTCTTATTGCTTTAAAAAGAAATCTTTTGTAACATGGCTCATTTTTAATAGTTTAGGCCAGTTTTCAACTGGGGTTTCTCTGATTATTTCTCTATGAGTAGATTTAGTTGAACATTTTTGGCAGGATTGCCGTGCACATGACACCAAGCTCTTCACAGCGCCCCAAATCTGGAGTCATCGCTCTGGTTGTCCCATTTCTGGTGAAGTTTAAGTTTGATCAAAGTGGTGCCTGCTAGGTTTTTTTAATTGTAATGATGCCCTTTTGTTTTTTAATTAATAAGTAGCCTGCCAGGTTGTTCTGGGTTTTTTTGTTTGTTTGTTTGCATTGTAATTCAGGCTGGGCTTGAACTCACGGTGTAGTCCAGACTGGCCTCGAGCTTGTACAGCCTCCTGCCTCAGCCTCGCAAGTGCTAGGCTACAGGTGTGCACTTTCACACCCAGCTTGGTATTTTTATTATTCATGTATTATTCTTTCCTGTAAAAAAGAAGAGTGCTTTTTTTTCTCTTCCTCCTTTCTCTATTAATATAAAGCATGGATTCTTTATCAGTGCTATAATGCATTTTCATTCTTACTCTTTTTGATCGTTAAATTGTCCAAGTATGACCTTATGTTGGGTCCTGTGTTCTTTTTCTTTTGTTAATCATTTACTTATTTGTTTGTTTGGTACGGGGTCTCTCTATGCAGCTGGGACTCACAGTGATCCTCTTGTCTCAGCCTCCCCAGCACTGGATTGCAGGCATGCGCCACCATGTCCACTTTTGGTAGCTGGCATGGCACACCTGGGGTTCCGGGGCTGGCAGGGCATGTGGTACAGGGGACTGAACCCGGGTCCTTGCGCTTGCCAGGCAGGCACTTAGACCATTGAGCTCTCTCACCAGACCCTCCCATGTTCTTTATGTTCTGTCATTCCTTAAGCATTTTCTTTTTTTGGCGCTATACAATATCCTGGGATTCCTGCTTTCCCTGAATCAAATAAGTTTCTGTCTTTTTAAAGAAAACCTGTGCAGTTTGTGCAATGAAAAGAGATTGTCTTGCCCATTATGCTGGGGAAAAAATTTGGTTTGTTGTTTTTGTTTGAGACACGGGATGTACTCACCGTGATCCTCCTGCCTCAGCCTCCCAATGCTAGAATTATGGGTATGTGCCACCATGATACCCAAATTAAGCACTATTTTTTTTTTAATAAATCAGATTTCTTTCCTTCTGTTTCCACATTCTGTTCCTTTTTGGCTAATTTTATGTATTTATTTTTGGAACAGGGAATCAAACTCAGGAGCTTGCACCTGCCAGGCAGGTGCTGTGGTGCTGAGCTATCTCCCCAGCTCTGTTTTGCCTAATTTTAGAGTCCATCTTCTAACTTTTTGGTTTTTGCGACAGGGTGGGGCTGTGTAGTGCAAGCTGGCCCTCAACTCACTGTTGCAGTTCCGCCTTGGACCTAAAGCAGTCCTCCGAGTACAGCTCCCAGGCTGCACCTCCACAGCCGTGACTGCACCTCTCTTCTCTTTAAAGCAGTGGCCACGTTTATTCAGCGACATAAAAGTGAAGGGTGGGGTGCTGGCCCCCAAAGCAGGCTGGGTCCGGTAAAGAGGACAAGGCACAAGCGGACCAGAAGTGCCTGCTGTGCCCTGGGCGCGCGGCACGGTGACAGCGCCTGGCCGGCCCACCGTGAGGCCCCGAGGCCTGGCCCAGGCAGACCGCCTCCCTCCGCCTGGCGAGCGCTGGGATTGCGGAACACACTGCGTTGTGCTTCTGCACCGGCTGCGTGTGACCATCTGGGGAGAGTCGCGTTTCAGTTGGGATATGCAGCCGTCAGCACCAGTGATTCTCCTGCAACTATTTTCTGGGTTCTGGTCTTTATGGTGACTAGTGTTTTCACCTTAGGCGAGTCACTTCATGCCGCCGAGCCTGTCCGGTTCCGAGCGGCAGCTGTGACGCGCCTCGCTGGACGCAGTCCTCAGGGTGGCGCTGCCCGGCGGCCGCGGTCCCGGACTCGGGTCATCCTGCCACTCGTAGCCCGGTTATCGCACTCTGGATTCCCTGCCTACCCTTCCTGAGATTTTTCTTCCTGACTAAGGGAACAAACAAAAAGAGGAGGCCCGGGGAGGTAGCGCAGTAGCATAGGTCCTGAGTTCAATCCCCAGGACCCCCAAAAAGAGGAGACAGAAGGAAACACAGGTTTCAGAAATTGGTGCGCAGATTTTCTCCTTACTCGCACGCAGCAGCCGTCTCCTGTGTGACCGCGCGCCAGGGCCGGTGGCTGCCAGATCGCTCGTTAGGAGGCTGGCCGGCGCCCTCCTCGGCCACCGCAGCTCGCGCTTCTGTGCCAGGGCAGCCTGTTCCTAACACGGCTCCTGATTCCTCGGCATCGCGCTCGCGCCAGCGCGCACTTGTACCAGGCACGTGGCGGCCCTGCCGGCCTGGGACCGCTCTCAGGAGCCCTGAGCAGCGCCTCGTCTTCCGCGCGCGTTGGGGCATTTCAAGCAGAAGGCGCGGCGCCGCGGCCAGTGTGGCGCGGAGTGGACCGTGCGGAGGACTCCTGCTTGTGGGGTGAGGGCCGGCCAGGCGGAGCGCTGCCTTGCTTGCCTGCAGGCGGGGCTGTGTCTGTGAACGACTGAAAGTGTCCTGAGGGTGGAGGGGCGCCCCCGTGCAGGGGGTGTAGGCGATGAGGGCCAGCTGTGTGTGTGTCTTCGCGGGTGTGTTTCATTAAGAGGAGAGAGAATTTCTGAGCTTGTGGCATCTACCTAATGTGGCATATGTTGGAGGGAATTAGGATAAACTAGTGTTTCTATCCAGTCCTATGTACAAGAGTTGCGTTCATCTAGGAACTTTATTAAAAGCCCATGTGGGGCAGGGATATAGCTCTACAGGGCAGTGCCTGCCTGGCAAGCACAAGGTCCTGAGCTCGATTTCTGGGACACAAAACCCACCCAAACAAAAAACACTGGGTATTAAAGCCGAAGAACTCACGATAGAGTATTTGGTTTTTTGTTTTGTTTTGTTTTGTTGTTTTGGTACTGGGGATTGGACTCAGGACCCTGCGCTTGCCAGGCAAGTGCTTATTCTGTTGAGCAATCGCCCGGGCCCTACCATAGAGTATTTTTTTTTTTAACTTTTTTTTTTTTAAATATTTATTTATTTATTTTGTGTGTGTGTGTGGCCAGCTCAGCCCACCAGGGGGCGGGGCTGGCTGGCATGTGGTGCTGGGGGATTGAACTGCGGTCCCTGGGCTTTGCGAAGCTTGTTCTAAGTAGGTGCTTTAGACCACTGAGCCATCTCACCAGCCCTACCATAGCGTATTGAGGCTACTTTTAATTTCTAAACACCGAGCCACTGAGGAAGCACCTACTGGACGTATATCTTTCCAGCCCACTTTTTAAATTTCTAGCTCCCAACATTCTTATTTGCCTTAATGGACTTAGTGCTATTATGTCTTATGTTTTATATTGTAAACTGCTAGAAATCATTTTTGTAGGTGAAATATAAATATATTTATTGATAAAACCAACGTCATATGTGTATTTTAGGATGGGAATGACTATAGACACAATTTCCATAGCAGTTAGAAAGATGAACCTCAAATTTAGGGCCATTGTGTAATAAAAGTCTTATATTCATTGGCCTTCCTACACATTTGGAACACAATGTAAATAAAAGAATAACTTTTAAATTTTGAAATATTCTTCTATCTAATATTATGCATTGGTTCCATAGGCTTTGTAGCTGAGCAGTTTCTAAACAATACAGCCACTCAACTGACATACCATGGACTATGTGAACTAACTTCAACCGTTCAGGAGGGAGAGCTCTGTGTGTTCTTTCGGAATAATCATTTTAGCACCATGACCAAACACAAGGTATGCTAAAGAAATAGCTGTTTAATTGTTACTGAAAGTCACAGCAGCTTAATTTAGAGATGTATTTAATTTGCTTAAAATAAAAGATTTTAGTATAACCCTAATCATCAAATTGTGATGGTAATTAAGTAGTAGTTCTTTAGCAGGGAATGAATTAAGCACTGAAGTATTATCTTAAGTCAGTTTTTGTTTTTAAATTCTCAATTTCTTTTTCACAGATTACATTAAAAAGTATTGACTTTCTAAGAGAAAAAAGTACCTAGAGGGAAAACAAGGATGACTTTCAATGATGGCTGTTTATAATTGAACACTAAAGGAAATTAGAAGAACTAAGATTTGCATTAAACTCAATATGATAGTACATGCCACACCATTGGCTGGCTACTCTGGAGGGGGAAGGAAGGAGGGAGGGAGCCGGTATGGTAGTGGTAGTACCTCATCCCAGCAGTCCCAGCACTCAGGAGGCAGACAGCTGGACTGGTAGCGCAGGGCTGTAATCTCAGCATTTGGGAAGCTGAGGTAGGAGGATTGCCACCATTTTGAGGCCAGGCTAAGCTATGTAGTCAAGGCCAGCCTGCACTCTGTACTACAAAGGTCAAGGCCTGCCTGCACCCTGCACTACAAAGCAAGACCCTATCTCAAAAATTTTTAAAAAGGCTAAAACAGGAGGAACATGAATTCAAGGCCAGCATGAACTGTGCAATGAGACCCTGCCTCAAGAAAACAAAAAATTGAAAAATTAAAAAAGAGTACCTTTATATAGTGTTTGCTATTATTTATTTATTCATTTATTTATTTATTTTAATTTTTTGGCTGAACCGAGGATTGAACTCAGGTCTACTGAGCTATCTCCCCAGCCCCTGAGCCTCTCCCCGGCCCCTGAGCCGTCTCCCCGACCCCTGAGCCGTCTCCCCGACCCCTGAGCCGTCTCCCCGACCCCTGAGCCGTCTCCCCGGCCCCTGAGCCATCTCCCCAACCCCTGAGCCATCTCCCCAACCCCTGAGCCGTCTCCCCGGCCCCTGAGCCTTCTCCC